CAGACTTGGTTTTAAGTGAAAGGATTATCTCATTGACGTCAATGGAATTAATAGGCTTTAGGTACAGAGACTGGGGATAGTTCCCTGTAAGATAGTCCTTAATGTCAGTACTGGAAGATGGAATATCATTAGCAAGGGATGAACCAATGGAAGAGAAGAACCTATTGAACTCAATAGCAGAATCAGAGGCTGAAAGCTGACCATCGTTATTAGACAGGAGAGTCGGTTTGTTATTTAAAGACTTCTTTGATCCCAATATTTGTGAAATTGTTCTCCATGTTTGTTTAATGTTGCTCTTTATTTGGGTAAATTTATCTTCGTAGTATTTAGTTTTGGCTCGTCTAATTATCTTCGATAGCAATAATGAGTAATTCTTTGAGAATTCTTTGGAGACAATTCCTAACCTATACTTTTTCTCAAGGTCATGTTTTTTATTAATAGATTTAAGTATTCCCTTTGTAAGCCAGGGATTGTTAAGCCTTTTGGTTGTGACTTGTTTTGTAAGCATAGGACAGTGGGTATTATAAAGGCTAAGAGTTTTTTGAAGAAAAGATTGAACTGCTAAGTTGATGTTCTCTATGTTACCTAACTCGTACTCCCAGTTGACATTATCAGTAGCAGTTATAAAATTGTCTATAGCAGTTTCATTGTGTAGTCTAAAACGTATCTCTCTTGACTCAAGAGGTGGTTTGCTAATGTTAGTTAAGAGAAATGTGGGGTAATGGTCTGTAGTGCTATCGGTGATTATACCTGAAGTAAGCGGAGAGGTTATATTTGTCCAGATGTGATCTAGAGTCGTGGTAGTGCTATCAGTGATTCTAGTAGGTCTAGTGATTAAGGGTATGAGGAAGCAGGAATTCATACAGTTGAGGAAGCTAACAGCAGTAGGGTGTTCTGGCTCGCAGAGGTCAATATTAAAGTCCCCTGCGATAATTAGGTGGTTTTTGTTCAGTCTGTTATCAAGTATTAGATTTCTAAGGTTTGAGTTGAATTCGGACACATCAGTGTTAGGAATTCTATAAACTGCACCCACAGACAGGATAGACTCGGCACCCTTGACTCTGAAGCTGGCGAAGATTTACTCCCCATAGCAGTCTCTAGTTCTAATTTCTTTTAAGCATGTTAGTTCTTGGTGGTAGTAAAGAGCAGTGCCACCACCTCTCTGAAGTTGACGACAGTTGTGGATTGCCGAGTAGTTAGGCATGTTAAAGAGTTGAGTAGTATCATCTTTCAACCATGTTTCAGTAAGTATAATAAAAGAGAATTTGTTGTCAATAGCTTCAATCAAGGCACTAACATCATCGAAGTGTTTACCTAGGGATCTAACGTTCAAATTGATTACAGAGATATTGTGACTATGAGTTAATACATTGTTTACATCATGTGCTGCAAAATATCTGCAATTTAGATCATTAAAGTGATTATTGTCATAGATAGTGGATAAGAGGTTAAGTTCTGGGTCTATACTTGACTGCATAAAAAAAGCTGATTGCAGGAAAAACAAGAAAAACAAAAAGAAATAAATGTACACAATACTGTACCAAACAAACACAAAAGGGGCTTACAGGGGTACAATGGAGTATGGCTAGGCTAGGAAACCTAGGTAATGAATGAGATTAAAGAAAAAAACATATAAACATGGACTATATAAAACACAAGATATAGATATACAAAACAAAAATATAAACAAGACTAAGCAATACAAAAAAAAAATTGAGCAAAAATGAAAAATGAGGTAGATTGCTTACAGGTACTCTCAGGTACACTGTAAGTAACAATAGACAGAAAATATATATCAATATAGAAAAGAATGTCACAATACAATAAGATAAGCAATTACATGAACAGATGAAAAACAAATCTGCTGTAAAATAGGAAGTAATTATAGCAAAACACAACAATATAATAATATAACAATACAATAAGAGCTTACAAAGTATTGAGTCTGCTAAATTAGAGAATAATTATGGCAAGACACAACAATAAATGCAAGTAAACAAGGAAGTGAAACAGTTAGAGGTAGAATTAAGGTCACTAGATAGCCATGGAGGATACACAAGTTTGGTGGAGAGAACAAAAAATCAGTAGAGACTGTCAAGATGAATATATAAAAAAATTTGACAAATGATGATTGTAAAGTAAAATAATCTTAAAGATAATAAATTTTATTAAGCTTAGTTTTAACTTATAATTAGTATGAACTTAATTAAAAGAACAAAAATGAGATCAATAATTGATTTCAATAAATGACATAGATCAATACAAATAAATTTAAATTAGTGACGCCACTAGGAGCTGGTTCAATTTTCTGCCCATTTATGGATCAAGATAGGTGTGAAAAAGTTAGGTATTGGAATTTTATTTTGTGGAATTGAGAAAATACATTTAATTTCTTTATCCTTATTCCTGTCGTGATATTCTAATATTACATCCGTCAACTTTAACTGAAAGTCTGGATGGGTCACCTGAGGTAAGACTTGCTTAGCTAGCACGCTAAGTGTAGTAAGCAGCTTATTCCTCACTTTGGGACCATAGAAGAACAGTTGACTAGGCGCGAGCAAACGCAGAGACCTCAAAAGTTTGAAAGCCCCTTCACTTAGGCCGTTGACCTTCACACATCACCGGAGCAAATCTAATAGGCTCTCACAACGTAATTTCAGCCCATCCGAATATGGGGAGGTAAATGTAACGGCACAAGTGTAATTATGTACAATTCCTAACAGGAATTGTACTCATTACACTTAGTATTAAACCGTATTGTCAATTCGGAGGATGCGTTGCATAATTTATACTGTTGTGTGGTGCTATGAATTCAGCCCAATTCTATCTCAAATGAATAGCAAAAGTAAGAGAACATAAGTAAATCAATAAAATGTGTGGTGTGTAATGGAAAAAAGTGTTCAACATAACACGGTTTATTCAACAAAGTACTAACTACTACAACAACGAAAGAAATATCAATGACGTTACTCGAAATTCTTCCTGTGACACCTTGACTGACAGCTAGACACCAGCCACGAGTGCTGCAAAATTAACTAACATGAACATAACGAGTGATCACAGAGGAATTAATAAAGCAAAACATACTTGACATTCTCAGTCTCCGAAACGCTTTGCGTAATAGTGGCTTTAGGCATTGTATGTACTAGCTCTATCTATAAATTCAATATTTGTATCACCCCTTGTATGTATGTACTTTACCTGAATAAACATTTGATTTTTTTTTTACCAAGTCTATAATCACTATGCAACAACAAGAAGGTAGGCAGGTTAGGAGACACGCCTCCAATAACCTCCTATCAGTACTCTACGCGTCTTGCAGCCCTCCCCTGCAATGGCGGTTGCAATGTAATCAAACTAGCAGCCTATCAATGACATGGAAATGACTAATGGGGTTACTGGCAACTCCAGCAACCCTCCTCAATTAAATTTTTACGTTAATACTCCGTCACTCGGACGATCAACAATCAATAACTAATTGATTACGTTAATATCAAAGTAACACTTACGTTAACTTAATCTTGTCAGCTATATCTTGCTCTGGTTAGGCTCCATTTAGATTATGCAGTTCAGTTTTGGTCGCCGTACTATAGAATGGATATAAATTCACTTGAACATGTCCAGCATAGGATGACTAAGATAATTCCCCAAATTAGAAATCTTTCTTATGAGGAAAGATTAACAAAGCTTAAGTTGCATTCACTGGAAAGGCAAAGAGTTAGGGGTGACATGATAGAGGTTTACAAGTGGTTGAATGGACACAACAAAGGGGATATTAATAGGATATTAAAAGTATCGACACAAGACAGAACACGAAACAATGGGTATAAATTGGATAAGTTTAGATTTAGGAAAGACTTGGGTAAATACTGGTTCGGTAACAGGTTTGGTGATTTGTGGAATCAATTACCGCGTAACGTGGTGGAGGTGGGGTCCCTCGATTGTTTCAAGCGCGGGTTTGACATGTATATGAGTGGGATTGGGTGGTTACAGATAGGAGCTGCCTCGTATGGGCCAATAGGCCTTCTGCAGTTGCCTTTGTCCTTATGTTCTTACTAAGATGCAAGATTCAGCCCTCCCAGAATTCCTACAATTCTTCTCTGGCTTGGCTAGGCTCCCTGACCGACCAAAACGGCTGTTCTTAGGAAAATAATTAACCCAAACGTATCTTACGTTACTCAAATTGTCTTAGAACAACTTCTCTATAAGCAATTGGTGTTCCCTTAGTTGCAGTATATTGACTCCCAATCACCTCACTGAATACTGGAGCTCGATGACCACCAAATATACAGGAAAATATAACACAAAGTACTCGTCCCAGTGACAAGTTTCACCCACAACACAATAAATCACGGCCACGGTGATATACGATACAATCCGGTTGCAATCACAATTATTACAGAACACTAGTAATTAAATAACTCGGTGCTCTAACCCGCTAGAACACGGCCCATGTAATTTACTAAACTATAATAACACAGTGATTGATCAACACTAGTAACAATCACGGCTCAACAGTTACAATCCCTTTGCAATGACACATTCACACGGTGGTCTAATTTCACTATATTAGAACACGGCCCAACACTTTCCTGCCCGGTTGCAAGGACACACGGTGCTCTAATTACCTCTTAGAACACGGCCCCACATTTTGCAACCCGGTTGCAATAACCACTTACTGCAACCACAGAAATAACACACTCAGCTTCGTGATACTACAATTATATATACAGAATATCGTACCTGCTGACCACCTGTAGCCTTCAGCTATCAAACGCTAATAAGGAACACTTAAAGAGATCACACACTCCTGATCAACTTGGGTGAGTGATCAGCGATCCCACAGATCGTTAATTAATCCTGTGAATTACATTACTCGACAGAGCTGTCACTCCTGACAGCCACGTTACTTGCCACAAAGCTACCACATTTATCATAGTCCTGGGAACACAACACTTGTATAAAAACACACGCTGGTATTACTTCACAATAATCAAATGTCAGGAAATCCCCGGTGTTACCACACTGACACTACTGTGTACCATGACCGGAAACTGGACTTCCTCACCTGCAAAAGATTACACGGACAGGGATAAGATAATCATAAATCGCCTAGAATGAATTACTTAAAAACTCGTGTGCCTCTCTTCACCAGAGCAGGTCTTGGAGACAATGCTGGCGGAACACCTGACCTCGAACCCAGGCTTAGAGATGATAATCGCCAAATACACACAGGGATACTTAATCATTTAAACAGCTGGCTCTAACGCGCATACACAACTGTCCTACCCCCATCCCTGTCCAGCTTGTTGTTGCCGTGAGGGGGCTTGGTGGGCGGCTGTTGGAGTGTGATGCTCCTTAAGACAGTCCTCTGCCCTTTTGTAGCCTTGTGCTCCTGCTGCTGTCCTTTCTAATTCTGCTGGACACCTTTTCTTTTTGTTTTGTTTTTCTCCCCTTCTCTTTTCTCGGTGTTATTTCCTGCCGCCCTTGTGCCTGTTTTGATCATTCTTTTGGCCTTCTTTTGTTTTGACGCCCAGGTGTTTGAGGTGGCATACTCTTGCAACTGTAGTACCCAATATCTCGAGCGAGGGGAACCTTTTATTGTCAATCCCCCTTTTGTCACTGAACCCGATCTCGACAGACTGACAGTTCTTAAGGTAGCGTTTGTGGGGCGTATAATCATGTTGCACCCCTAGGGAGCCCCGGCAAGATTGGCAATGTGTCTGTTGTTGGGTGTCCTGCCTCTAATTGTGGCTTCGTGGTGGGTGTGGGGGCTGTTACGGCCCTATTGGGTCGCAACTGGGGTTCTTCTCTGATGTTATTAGAGTTTGGGTATCTGGCCCCAAGTTAGTAGTGGCTTTCAAGGGGTGTGTTCCGTAACACAAGTAAATTAAAGGGGAAGGGATAAAAATGCACTAATTTAAATATATATATTCACCACCACCAATAAATAAATATATAAACAGTCACTCGCTGGGGCTATAACTATACTTATGTACATTAACTTGTCTTCCTCTGAAGACACAGGATGCTCTACGGTGCTCAAGACGAGTAGCCCTGGTTCTCTTCTTGTGGCCTCACGATGAATCCTTCGATTCCCTAGGCGAATCTACCCTGTCCACAGGCCAGCCAAATCACAGTCCCACTGGGTGCACCGTCATGGAGGCCTTCAACCACCAATCCAGCCTGTAGCTGGCAGGTTCCAATCGGCTCTGCTGCGTAGGCCACTCCACGACCGATACTAGGGTTGCGAGCCCTAGGCAGGAGCCTCGTGTGATTCCGCTGATCACTCTCCTCTCTCAACACCCCAGTGGCTAGTCTTCTCCACCAGTCAGCCCCCGGGTACGACGATTCCTCAACTCTGCCATGTCACAGGCAGGCTAACACTCTCAGCAGTGTTCGTCCGGGAGCAACTCACAGCTTCTTCAGCAAACACGTGGAGAGACTTTGGCTGCCTTGGGTAGACTGCCCATCGTCCAATCCAGCAGTCCCAGGTCGACTCTGTAACCAGACACGTCATCAGTACTAGGGACACTCTAGGGCACCTCACTTACCGGCTTAGACACAAACGTCCACCTATCCACTCCATAGATGGCGTTGCTGTCTAAGCGCCACCTCACCAGAGGTCAGCAGCGGCTATGTTATGAGCTGATCAAGACGGGAAACCAGCCCCTGTGGCCGGTATATCCCATCCTCGCTAGATGGCGTCGCTCATTTGGAGGGGGTTTCAGGAGCTGACTCACAGATTGCGTGGTCGTCACCGCTCCGTGCTCAGACGCTGGACTCGGGTCCGTAACAGGGGCACATTCGTGAATAAATGTCTTACTTCTCATCTCTATGGTGCAATCTGTTCTTCTTTTACCTTCTCAGGCTCGTGGGGTGCGCGACCAAGCACCTAAGTCGGACTGTGTTGGAAGACCGGGCTCTGTAGCCCCTGCTGCATTGTGTCCCGACCTTGCTCCTCCTCTGACCCTCCTGACTACTCCTCTCGGCTCCCGTTCCTCCTCTGTGGTTGGGTCGAGCCCCAAGCCCTCAGTGATGAACACCTTATCCCCTGGCACAGCTCAGTCTCTAGTTGTGACTACTGCACCTTTTAACCCCCCCCCCCTCTCTCTCTGGGGGTTCTCAATGCCGTCCTCACCATGGCCGTACTCGCTGGATTCCTTCCTGTACTGATGCATATCAAGCCTTGTTTGGTCCCGCTTCATGGGCCAAATACTTTGATCTCCTCCCCTCTTAATTCTACGCCTGACGATTTCTCCCTCCTTAGGCACCTTGTTGATTCCGTAGATGCCTGTTACTTTCCACCCCACCCGTCTCGGTACACATGTCGTTGCTGCTCCTCCTCAGGATGCAGCTTCCCGCTTGGCCGCCGTGTCCTGCCTTGGCGAGACCCCTGTTCGGGTCTCCAAGAACGCTCTGTTGAATGCCAGTGTTGGTACTATTCTCCTCTCCACCCCATGTTGCAACCGGAATTCGGAATCTCCAGGCCTGCCACGAAGATGTTCGTCATATCCTGAAAGCCCAGGGCCATTCTTTCCTCCAGGTAGACTTGTTTACTCGTCCCCCTCGTGGTCGTTGCCGTCAACCCCTTCGGGTTGTGAAGATTACCTTTGATGGTAGGACCCTTCCACCCTCTGTCATTCTTGCTGGTGCCAGGTGCTCCGTCCAGGAGTACATTCCCTCTCCTCGGCTCAGTAATGTGCTGGAGGTTTGGGTATGGTGCCCTCCGCTGCTCTGGTACCGTCTCTGTCCTTTGTTTGGGGGCGAAGGTCACTCTTAAGTCAGAGTGCACTTCTCCCCAGGCTCGCTGCTTCAATTGCTGTGAGGCCCACCCTACTTTCTCCTGTGCATGTATAGATTACAAGCTTGAGGCAGGAAGCACCTGGAGCGTATCTTTTCCTGAGGCGAGGCTCCAAGTTCGCCGTCTCATACCTTATGCTAACGTCTCTTATGCTCGCTTGTTGCGCTCTTCCTCTTCTCGTCCTTCCCCCCTTCCTCAGACTCTCAACCGTTTCCACGCTTTGAACCCTGACCCACCCACCATCTCCTCCTCTGTTCCTTTGAGTTCTGTCCCGAAGGGTCCCCCTCATGGTCCTCTGTCTGGGGTTCCCCTTCTTTCTGCCTGGTCTGTCATGTCTCCTGTGTCTTCTTCCTTGTCTCCCTCTGATCCTCCTTCCCATCATTCTCCTCCGTGTATTGGCTCTCCACGCTGCCTGTCAGTACAGGCTGATGTCCATCGCTCTCCCAACGGCCGTCGTGTATGCTCTCGTTCTGCTTCTCCTGTTGAGACGCTAGAGTCCGTTGCCCAGTACATTGTTGCTGGGACGCCTGTCTCTTTGAGTCAGAAGCGTAAGCCTGGCTTCTCTCCTTCCTCCTCCACGGCGGATAAAAAAGGCTTCGCTTTTTTCCTCGCCCCCTACCTCTGGCTCTCTTGCTCCGTCCCCTCCTGTTTTGGTGATTACGCCCCCGGTTCCTGCTGTGGAGGTCTCTTTGGCTCCCGCTTCCCTCTCGGTTGCTGCCCTTGCTGAGGTGCACAACCTGGTTTCTGCTCCTCCTGTTGCTGTCCTTGACCCTCTGTTATCCCCTCCCTCTTTCTCCTCCGGACCCTACTTGTCCGCACCTGGTCCGTCCTCCAGCTCCCTTCCCTCCTTTACTCAGTTTACCCATGCCCCCTAACCCTGACTTTGCTGACCCTGATCCTGTGCTGCTTTAATGTGCCATGTTCCCTTTTCACCTTTGTTTCTTCGTTGTTCTCTGTTGTCCTTTCTCTTCTTGTCGATGTCTATTCTTCTATGGAGCGTTCGTGTTTATTACGCCAATTTCCTTGAACTCCAACTTCTGATTTTGCGGTTTTTGCCCCTTTGTGTCTGTCTCCAGGAGCCAATGCTTGGTGCTCGTTCTAGTCGCTGTCGTGGCTATTCCTTTCTCCCCCCCCCCCCCCCCCAGCTGTTGCTGGGGCTCCTAACTCTTCTGCTCTCTTGATTCACTCTGATGTTCCCTTTGTCCCCTTACTTTTTCCTTAGCCTCTACATTGTTCTGCTGCTCGTATCTTTGTGAGGAAATGGTTCACCGTTTGTTCCATGTCCATGTTTGTTACTCCCCCGAGTGTCCCTCTTTCTCTTCCCGATCTGAAACACTTATTGGACTCCTTGCCAGAGCCTGTGCTCTGGCTAAGTGATCCCTGGCCCCTGACACCGCCTGCCTCCCCCTGACACCGCCTGCCTCCCCCCTGACACCGCCTGCCTCCCCCCGACACCGCCTGCCTCCCCCCGACACCGCCTGCCTCCCCCCGACACCGCCTGCCTCCCCCCGACACCGCCTGCCTCTCCCCGACACCGCCTGCCTCCCCCCGACACCGCCTGCCTCCCCCCGACACCGCCTGCCTCCCCCCGACACCGCCTGCCTCCCCCCGACACCGCCTGCCTCCCCCCGACACCGCCTGCCTCCCCCCGACACCGCCTGCCTCCCCCCGACACCGCCTGCCTCCCCCCGACACCGCCTGCCTCCCCCCGACACCGCCTGCCTCCCCCCGACACCGCCTGCCTCCCCCCGACACCGCCTGCCTCCCCCCGACACCGCCTGCCTCCCCCCGACACCGCCTGCCTCCCCCCGACACCGCCTGCCTCCCCCCGACACCGCCTGCCTCCCCCGACACCGCCTGCCTCCCCTGACACCACCACAAATGATGCCAGCCACCTCACCAAGGCTTAACGTTCACACGACCTGTGCTTGTTTTATTGGCCTCCTCAAAATTTATTCTAAATAGATATTAGTACAGTACGTAGGCTGTTAGAGGAGGGAGGGAGGGATCCAGGAAACAAACCCCCCCCCTCCTACCCACTCCCCCAATGGCTCAGAGAGCGACCGGCCGGCCACACAATGCTAGCCGTTATTTACACCCCAATTAAAAATTCTGTGAAAAGGAAATGTGTTCAAACTGTTTAAAATATGTACTGTATATATCACAATTTTCACCATTATTAATGCTCCAATATGCCATTTTTGTAATAAAAAGGCTATTTTCAGTGTAGATAATGCGATAATTATCATTAAATTGACTCTTGG